AGGGTGGGGAATTACTTGGAGATTTTGGGGGTGAAGCCTTGGGAAGGTAAGGTTTGAGAAGAGAAGGGACCTCACTTTACAAAGCAGCCATTTTCTGCAGGGAACTGATCTCTGTAACCTGGAGACCAGTCGTAATTCTGGGAGATCTCCAGCCGCTACCTGGAGCACACGTTTTTGAATGTGTACTTCTATGTGTACTAAAGCTGGGAAACACCTTTACATGTATAGAGGAAAACTGAAGCTGAGGCAGTTTACGGGGAGAGATGCATCTGTGCATAAAACAGGCGGCGTTTCAGCTGACATTTTAGCATCTTTTCATAGGATTCCTTATAGCTTCTTCAAGCATAAGTAACTTATGAAAGTCACTGTTAACAGTGACTATAATGACAGATGACAGTCTGATGGTTTTCAAAAAGAATTTGACCAATTCATTTAGCCTACACTGGAATGGAATTAACTGCCAAGCTGACATTAGGGTTAGGTTTTTAACTAGTTATTTAAAATTTTAACCTATTGGAATTAATGTCTCAATGCACTGCTGTTTTTATGGAATTGTTTATTGTATTTTGACATGATGTAAGCCTGCTTGCGGGGTAGGGCAGGATAAAAAAAATTGCAATAAATAAATAAATAAATTTAAAACCATTTAAGCTTGCGGCTATCCCCTCATTCAAAGGCATCAAGGAAAATTGCAATAAATAAATAAATGAATGAATAAATTTAAAACCATTTAAGCTCGCGGCTATCCCCTCATTCAAAGGCATCAAGTTTCAACATTATGCAGTCATACAATTACTTCCATTTGCCTGTCTCTGTACTGTCAGTGCTATGACTCTGCATCCCCAGACTGAGGATACAGTAGCTGAGTCAAATTAAGAGCCACAATTTTATTGATTCCATGTCTGAACTGCAACAACACTTAACAAACTTTAGCAGACTTCTCTTATCTCCGTGAAGGTAACTTTTCTACCAAGGCAAGATTTTCCAAACACAGTTCCAATTGCTTGCCTTATCTGGGCACTTTCAGCCCTGCCTACAGCCACAGATCAGTAAACTCACTCTCCTTGTACTTCATTGCCCCTGTGAACTTTTCCCTTCTTCATAAACTTGTACACAAACTTATACATTTTATAAATAAGAATAACTCAGCTAGACAGACTAAATGGTCCATCCAGTTCAGCATCCTGTTTCTCACATGGTCAGCCAGATACTTTCAAAGGACCATAGGAGAGACAAGCAAGCTATCAGCATCTGGCACTCAAAGGTACACTATTTAGCCATCATGTGTAATAGCTAATGATGAACCTTTCACCTGTAAATTTGTCTAAACCTGGATTGAGGTGGGTCAGCACTTCTGTTGCTACTTGGTCTAACAGCAGCATTTGACATGGTCGACTACAACCATTTGACCCGCCGCCTTACCGAAGCGGGTATATGGGGAACTGCCTTGCAGTGGCTGTCCTCCTTTCTCCATGGCTGGGGACAGAGGGTAGTGCTTGGGGAAAGGGTTTTGCCACGTTATCCTCTAGTATGTGGCATCCTGCAAGGAGCAATCCTCCGCCAGATGTTGTTTAACATCTATATGTGCCCCCTCGCCCAGTTAATACGGGGTGTGTGTGTGAGCTGGGTGGTTACCAGTATGCTGATGACACCCAGCTATATCTGTTGATGGACAGCCACCCAGACTCTGCCCCAGGCATCTTGGCTAGGACTTTAGAGGCTGTGGCTGACTGGCTACAACAGTAAAAGGAACAGATTCATTCATTTCACAGAGGGATGTGCAATCTTCTTTGCTCGTATATCTTAAGACAGAAGTCCAGAGGAGTTCCTGTCAGCATAATAAGCCCTCCCGCAGTGTGCCTGGAGGTCCACCAGAACTTCAGGACCAAAGAGGTTGATTCCTAATTCAGGACCTTTTGAGCTCGGGATGCCAATCTCCAGGTGTGTCCTGGGGATCCCCTGGAATTACAGCTCATCTCCAGACCACAGAGATCAGTTCCCCTAGAGAAAATGGCTGCTTTAAAGGCTGGACTCTATTGCATCATACCCCAGTGAGGTCCCGGTCCTCCCCAGGCTCCACTCCCCCCTCCAAATCTCCAGTGATTTGCAACCTTGAGTTGGCAACCCTACCCCATCCCCTGCCAGTGGCCGGGGGGAACCTGGCAACCCTACCAAGCCAATGCAAACTGGAGTGAATGAGTGCTGTGAACAGCTCTGGTTTGCTTTGTTAGCAAAGAGACTATTCTCCTCTTTCTGTGTTTTTAATGAAGGCATTGTGCTGTTTCTGGTAGCTTTGTGTACAAAGCAGCTGAAAAGCCTTAGGGGGTTCAATGAAATAGATATTGTATAAATGAGCATGCATATGTTTATATCTTGCTAATGAGCAGATACAACATGTAACCAGTTATTACAGGGACATACACTCATATAACTTTCATGGGAAGTACATATTGCCTTAATCTATTGCTCAAAACCTAGCTTTCTTTACTAGGAATGTGCAGTTCCTCTGTTCTTTTGTTATGAGGATATATAAAGCAGAAGCTATCAATAATGCAGCACACACCAGTCCCAAAGCAGAAAACCTTAATCTACCTGAGTCCATTATGTTGGAGTAGTTAATACTTCACATGAATTGAGGTTGTACTAGAACTGTCCTTCATATCCCTTACATGATACACATAGTATGCACAGAATAAAATCTTTTACAGTCTGACAATCTTCAGAGCTGACTTGCCTTGTGACTCTTAATTAGATCAATAAATAATCCAACTGTGGAAGTAATCAGCTAGGCATGAAATGTTTTATTTTATTACTTGCAAGATGCCCACAAAACAGAGAATGGATTCAGATATAAAAGCCTTAGCACATTTTGAGGGAGCCGGTGTGGTGTAGTGGTTGGAGTGTCGGACTAGGATCTGTGAGACCCAGGTTTGAATCCCCACTTTGCCATGGAAGTTTGCTGGGTGACCCTGGGCCAGTCGTACACTCTCAGCCTAACCTACCCCACAGGGCTATTGGCATGAAGATAAAATGGAAGATAAGAGAATTATGTAAGCCATGGGTCTCCACTGAGGAGAATGGTGGAGGTATAAAAGAAGTAAGCAAATTTTAAAACGGCAATACAGATGAAAAAGGATTAAGAATTTTATTTATAAAAATAGTGACTGCAAATAAAATCATAGAGAAAATATTCATGTTCATGTATATCTGCTCCAATTTCATTCCATAAATTAAGCTCTTCTCCTACCACAGGCTTTTTACACAAGTGGTGTTAGATATTATCTTAGCGTGTTAGTTATTATCTTGGATTTTCAGCAAAAAGTAGTAGAATGAAGGTTAATTGCATAACATGGTCCTTTCAGCTAATCAAACCTTAAGGCTCTGTTGCATGTGCAGTTAAAATTAAATCCATGCCTTCAAATGAGCTGGTGTGGCACAACAGCCATCTTAGTGTAGTGGTTGGACTGTCACACTAGGATGTGGAACTGCTGGGTTCAAATCCTAGCTCTGCCATGGAAGCTTACCAGGTAATGTTGAGCTTGTCATAACCTAACTTGACTTGTTCCCTGTACTGCCCTCAAGTACACTCTGGCTTGGCTGGAGAGAAGGTGATGACCAATGTTCCCTATAAGCTGTGGAGTCTTTTGAGCAAAAATTCTACTTTGTGAGCCACTGGCATTAAAGTTGTGAGCGAGCGATTTGGCCCTACTGCGTAAATGAAGTTTGCTCTGGAGCCGTCCTTCCTGAGCTAAGACAAAAATGTGTGAGCTGGAGGCTAAGAAACTGTGAGCTAGCTCACACTAACTCAGCTTAGAGGGAACCCTGGTGATGACACCAGGACTTGTTGAGGCAAACCAGGGTTTGAGGAATTGCATGCAACCTGAACCCTGGTTTCATAAACTAACCATAACTAAAATAAACTATCGCTTTGCTCTATGTCTGAACAAAACCAATCAATCTAGACTACTGCCCCACCAAATCTAACCACTGCATCCAATCAAGTTCATGTTTTAGGCTGCTTTCACTAGCCCTCCCTTCATCCATGAATTATATGCAGGCCCGTAGCTACATTGAAGCATTCTGGGGCCCCGCCCCCTGACTTCCTACCAAGGCCCCACAACTTCCCCACCTGTCAGCAGCCCCACAGGCTCTATCCTGGCCTGGCAGCCGAATCAGGCAGAATCAATTTCGGCCGGCAGAAAGACTCCCACGTGTCAATTTCGACAGTTTGAGCAGATTGGGGAGTCTTTCCGCCAGCCAAATGTCAATTTCGGCCCCATTACATCCTATGGGCCATTGAAATCAATGGTGAAAACATAGGGTATATCATAGGGGGCTGGAGGGGAGGTGGTTTGAGGGAGAGGCTCCAAACTTGCAGGGTAACTTTTCCCCCCACCATAGAGAACAATGGAGGGGATGTGGGCAACCTGTTATAGAATTGGACCCCCTGGTACAATGTTCTTGAAACATGGTAGGTATCTTGGGGAGAGGCTCCAGCAGCTACCCTGTGAGTTTGAAGCCTCTCCCTCAAACCACCTCCCCTCCAGCCCCCAGAATATACCCTATGTTTTTGCCATTGACTTCAATGGCCCATAGGATATACTGGGGCCGATTCAGATCAGAGAATCTGAATCGGCCCACAGCAGCCCGAAAGGGGCCCCCCGGCAGAGCGGTGGGGTGGGGGGTGACCGGGGCAAAGACCACTTACACCCACCCTCGACAATAGGGGAAATAATCCTGCTCCCGCCTGCGAGTGTGAGTTTTTTTTATTTTATCAGTGCCCCCTGACTTATTTAAAGGCCCCCTAAATTAAGAAATCCTGGCTACGGGCCTGATTATATGTAGTACAAGTGCTGATGTGACACTCTGCCATCAGGCTGGGAGCAAACCCTGTAAAACCTAATTGTGCTATCTGTGCTGCACTCCCAGTATACAATGGCACAGGAACAACCTTCTAGCTATATGGACAAGCTGTAATTAACTCTTCAGTGAACTCTTACCTTCCAGGGGCATCTCCATTTCCATCAATCCGTACTTCTTCTCCTGAAACTCCAATGAATGAAGAATTTAGGAGAAAATCCAAGAGCTTGCTACCATCAATGGGCTTCATGGCATCACATAGTCCAACATGTCCTGGACAAAGGGCATGATGCATGCTTTGTAGGCCATGGGCCATAGCGTATATGGCATTGATAACAAATCCCATTTTACTGTCCTGGACATAGTTTTCTTCTAAACTTTCATTCCCTACAATGAGAAGAGGACCACATTACTCCAACTATAAATTAAATGTATTCCATAGGATGAAATTTAAATATACCAAGATATAAATTCAATGCATTAGTCAACACTGTATGTCAAACAGTCATACCCAATATTAATTTGCAAGATACAACCACATTCCAATTTAGAAGAATCATATCATGAATTCTGTATGCTACTAATAAAGGTAAAAGGTAAAGGTTCCCTTTCTCGAAAGCCAGTCGAATCCGACTATAGGGTTGCGGTGCTCATCTCCGTTTCTAAGCCGAAGAGCCAGCACTGTCCGAAGACGTTTCCATGGTCATGTGGCCGGCATGACTAAACACCAAGGTGCATGGAACGCTGTTACCTTCCCACCAAAGTGGTACCTATTTATCTACTTGCAATTTCTTGCTTTCGAACTGCTACAGAAGAATCATATCATGAATTCTGTCTGTTACTAATAGTTTGACTTTATTCAGTTCTGTTAAAGCTAAATATTCTCCTAGAAAAAGAACATACTCTCTCTTTAAAGGGTTGGGGGGGGGGAAATGCTTGAAAAACACAACCAATCTCTCTTTATATCCCTTTAAGGTGTCCCCCGATGTTTTTACTGTGCATTGGTGATGGTCTCTTGCTTCAGTCTCTCACACAAGCAGTTGCATCTCCACTTCAAATTTCCCTCTCTTGAAATAGCAGATTTCTCTTTTTTATTTTTAATTAACTTTTAATAAAAAACAAATAACAGATATATACATAAATATGAAATTACATAAGATACATTGCCAATCTATACCCTCTTACGTCCTACCTCCATGGGTGTAGAAAACCCTTCACCAAGAACTGACAATTTTAATACTATTTCCAATTATACAATAGCCAGTTCCATTCTTTGTATCACTCATGACCACATAAGGTCTTAAAATATCTTTTATTGGTATCAGTGCACGTAGCCTCTAAACTGGAAATACTCGAATACTGAAATACTAGACTCTAGACCAGGGGTGTCGAACTTATTTGTTATGAGGACCGGATCTGACATAAATGAGACCTTTTTGGCCCGGGCCATGTGTGTCATAAAATGTAATGCCAGGTAGTGGAGATATAAACTTTATAAAGGACACAAACACAAAAATATTTTTGACTTAAAATAAAAACATGCTTAAAACATTAGCACTCTTGCAATATTTATTTAACAGTGCCTGATAACTGATACCTCTTGCTCTGAATTATTGCACCAAAATGTCTGTGCTGTTGCAGTCTTGAGTATGCTGTTCAAGTGTGTATCTATAAGCTGCAAACCTACTTTTGATTTATTGGCATTCACCACAGAAATCTCATGCTCAGAGTTCTGAGTCTAGGACCCAGGTTAAAACATGAAATGGCTGAGCGATTGAGAGAGTCTGGTGAAGCAAGCTATGATGCAGCAGCAGAACTGGAAGCAGGAGATGGCCAGTTCCACTGCTGGCCTGATTGAAGCCCTCCTGGGCCTAATCCGGCTCCCCAGCTGCATGTTTGACACCCCTGCTCTATACAATCCTTAATATTACTATATGGGATCACTTGGTTGTCAGTTATCAAGTTTCTATAATCACTAAATCCTGAGAACTCCCACCTTCTCAAGGGGAAAAATTCCAGGCTCATCTCATCAATCATGTCACTAATAACAGATCCTAAGGGAGAAAATCTTGGTGACAATTTATTTTTTGTTGTTGTTGTTGTTCAGTCACACAGTCGAGTCCGACTCTTCGCGACCCCATGGACCATCTCCCGGTCAGTTATCAAGTTTCTACAATGGCTAAATCCTGAGAACTCCCAGCTTCTCAAGGGGGAAAATTCCAGGCTCATCTCATCAATCATGTCACTAATAACAGATCCTAAGGGAGAAAATCTTGGTGACAATTTATTTTTTACTTGGTCCCATACATTAAGTGTTACATTTATGATAGATTCAGGTGGATAGCCATGTTGGTCTGAAGTAGAAGAACTAAGTTTGAGTCCAGTGGCACTTATAAGACCAACAAAGTTTTATTCAAGGTATAAGCTTTTGGGTGCATGTACACTTCATCAGATGCAGTGAAACAAGGTGTCCTCAACCATTACGTATAGGTGTGAGGGGATTAGTTGCCAGGAAGGGCTAGTTAGAGTCAAGATGCATAAGTAACTGGGCAATTATAGCTGAGATTCAGTTAAAGTGGTTGGTAAGGTCTGAGAATAGCAGTAAATTAGCATACAAATACAAGAGTTAGCAGATGTGAGAACTGACTTTGAGTCCAGTGGCACCTCCAAGACCAACAAAGTTCATTTCTGGGTATAAGCGAGAACTGAGAGGCTTAGCATGTGTAGATGCACACTTCTTAGATACATTGAAACAGATTTCCTCAAATGTTACATATAGGTGGGGGGGTTAGTTGCCAGGAAGGGCTAATTAGAGTCACGATAACTAAGCAATAAATACAGCTAAAATTGGAATAACACATTCAGTAAGACCTGTGCATAGCAGCAAATGGGCATACAGATAATAAAAGAGTTAAAAACAGATGTGAGAACTACGTTTGAGTCCAGTGGCACCTTTAAGACCAACAAAGTTTAATTCTGGGTATAAAGGAGAACTGAGTGACTTAGCATTGCGGTGAGATAAGAAGCGGATATCTCTGTTAAGTCCTGGGGGTTCCATTGTCCTGAGTGTTCTGGCCTTTATTTCACCTGTACCATTAAGCCAGAATTTTTATAGCCAGCTGACGTCTGTTTTTAAGCTGTACCCATTGTTTTTAATGTTTATATTGTGTTTTAAATTGTAATTGCATCTGTTTAATGATGTTACCCACCCTGAGCCTGTTCGTGGGATGGGTGGAATATAAATACAAATAATAAATTAAAAATAAATGCTAATGAGGACGACTTTGCACTAGAGGCAGATCTCGTAAAAAGGAATATTTTAACATCAATAAATCTACAACTGAAAGAAGAGAACAGTGTCTATAATGTTCTTCCTGTGCTCTTCTACTATAAAAGTGCATTCCTAAATGTGCACAGAGTCCTTGCAGCTGCTTTAACTTTTGGAGCATCCAATGCTACATGCGAGTTAGCATTCTCTTGCCTTACTTGCATTTTACAGCCATAGAGGCTGCCAATGTCCCATCTCCGGAAAAACAATCTAGTGTTGCTAGGTTATGAGAAAACAATCACAAATAACATCAATATGGATGCATTCATAGAAAATTTTTGTGCCCAATCTCATCAACTTCTGCTATAATTGTTCAACAGGTTGAAAAGTGTAGAGCTCGGCAGTGGAGCTGCAAGGCTGGCGGCGGCCAGGACCGTTGGGGGTGGGGTGTGTGGCCTTATGACACACTTCCGGTGATGTCAGGGCTGTGGCCTTATGACACACTTCCGGTGATGTCAGGGGGTGTGGCATATGCTAATGAGTTATGCTAATGAGTTCCCCTAGCTCTTTTTCTACGAAACGACCCCTGAGTGATTGTGTTGTCTGGGTGTATGTGGCAGCAAAGTTGGCATCTGGGTTTATTACAAGTTCTGGTACCAGTGACCATGTTCAAATTAGATGTTGTATTATTGTGTTTTATTAGGGCTCAAAGCATCAAGGCAGCTCAGTTTTGGATAAGGTCTTTATGGAGAGTACAACGCCACCGGTTGTTTTCTACAAAAATGAAAAATTGGCCGATAGTAAAGTTTTATGGTGTTCCTCCAGATAATTCCAGGTAGATATGCAAGGTAGAAACCAATTAGGGATTGAAAAACTCCCAGCATATCATACTGACAAACTATGTTAGTTGCCATCTTGAAACCACCCTAATAACTTGTACAACAAACTTCTTTAAAAAAAACACACAACAACAACCAGCACCACAGCGTTAAAGCTCTACTACACGTCTCCCACCAAAAAATATAAAAAGCAGATGCATGAGGCTTGGCTACACATTAAACTCACTTATCACTGAAAAGATGCACCACATGGGTGCACAAGTGGCTCTTGCATCACATTCTGATGCTTCCATTGCTACATATTCCAGTTGTAAGTCACATTTGTCCTCCACAAGGCTCTGTTTTGGTTTTGGTAAAACCATCTTAAAGACTGACACATTTATTGTACCATAAATCTGTGAAATCTGTTAGACTCCTTTTTGTGTTTGCTGTGTCTGTGTAATCTCTGAAACCCCTGGCCAATTCTGCACAGGAAAAGAGACAGTCAGAGCTTCATTCATCTTTCTCTAAACCTTTTCATCACTCTGTTTTCATAAAATATGCTGATGCCATTATGATTATATTACGAGCCTATTTGCTTGCACCTGTGGATTAGTATCAGATACACAAATCATCCCCAAAAGAAACAAAGTGTTTTTTTGAGTGGGTGATACCTGTGCTTTGCACGTTTGAAAAACATTATTAATATGATATGAACATTTGAAAAGATCAGCGGAAAGATTTTTCTTTTAAAAAGAGAAAGCGAGAAGGTACATTGTCAGTTGGGATTTTGCATTTGCAAGCAGAAGCTGCCTACTTATACTCTCTTTACACGTTCTTGGAGCAAGGTAGTTCCTGACTCCTCTGCAGTTGTAAGAAAAGCTTTAAAATGTTTAACTTTGTGGTTTTGTTTTACACTGTCTATACCTAAGGCTCAAATGAAACACCCATAGTCCCTTGCATGCAATGTAAATATAAACTCTAAAACCCAAAGTATGGAAATGTTTCTGTTGCAACATGAGAGCAACCAAGGGAGGCAGAACTGTTGCATCAAAATCCACTAGACTGACCTACAAGTAAATGTGTTTCATATCTCCTTCCTTCCTTCCTTCCTTCCTTCCTTCCTTCCTTCCTTCCTTCCTTCCTTCCTTCCTTCATTAATTCCTCCACTTATCCATTTCTTCATAC